ATCGAATTAATATACTTCCATTACCCCAAAGTTATAATCCCTCGAATAAAATCCCAAAATAAATTTTATTTATTTTAAAAATATTGGGGTAAAACAAAAATTTTTTCTGAAATCTTATTGTATAGAGATAAACGATATCTCATATGAAAGTACATTAAAAGCTAGTAATAAAAATGGTGAGTCGAATTAATATACTTCCATTACCCCAAAGTTATAATCCCTCGAATAAAATCCCAAAATAAATTTTATTTATTTTAAAAATATTGGGGTAAAACAAAAATTTTTTCCGAAATCTTATTGTATAGAGATAAACGATATCTCCTATGAAAGTACATTAAAAGCTAGTAATAAAAATGGTGAGTCGAATTAATATACTTCCATTACCCCAAAGTTATAATCCCTCGAATAAAATCCCAAAATAAATTTTATTTATTTTAAAAATATTGGGGTAAAACAAAAATTTTTTCTGAAATCTTATTGTATAGAGAGAAACGATAGCTCATATGAAAGTACATTAAAAGCTAGTAATAAAAATGGTGAGTCGAATTAATATACTTCCATTACCCCAAAGTTATAATCCCTCGAATAAAATCCCAAAATAAATTTTATTTATTTTCAAAATATTGGGGTAAAACAAAAATTTTTTCTGAAATCTTATTGTATAGAGAGAAACGATAGCTCATATGAAAGTACATTAAAAGCTAGTAATAAAAATGGTGAGTCGAATTAATATACTTCCATTACCCCAAAGTTATAATCCCTCGAATAAAATCCCAAAATAAATTTTATTTATTTTCAAAATATTGGGGTAAAACAAAAATTTTTTCTGAAATCTTATTGTATAGAGAGAAACGATAGCTCATATGAAAGTACATTAAAAGCTAGTAATAAAAATGGTGAGTCGAATTAATATACTTCCATTACCCCAAAGTTATAATCCCTCGAATAAAATCCCAAAATAAATTTTATTTATTTTCAAAATATTGGGGTAAAACAAAAATTTTTTCTGAAATCTTATTGTATAGAGAGAAACGATAGCTCATATGAAAGTACATTAAAAGCTAGTAATAAAAATGGTGAATCGAATTAATATACTTCCATTACCCCAAAGTTATAATCCCTCGAATAAAATCCCAAAATAAATTTTATTTATTTTAAAAATATTGGGGTAAAACAAAAATTTTTTCTGAAATCTTATTGTATAGAGATAAACGATATCTCATATGAAAGTACATTAAAAGCTAGTAATAAAAATGGTGAGTCGAATTAATATACTTCCATTACCCCAAAGTTATAATCCCTCGAATAAAATCCCAAAATAAATTTTATTTATTTTCAAAATATTGGGGTAAAACAAAAATTTTTTCTGAAATCTTATTGTATAGAGAGAAACGATAGCTCATATGAAAGTACATTAAAAGCTAGTAATAAAAATGGTGAATCGAATTAATATACTTCCATTACCCCAAAGTTATAATCCCTCGAATAAAATCCCAAAATAAATTTTATTTATTTTAAAAATATTGGGGTAAAACAAAAATTTTTTCTGAAATCTTATTGTATAGAGATAAACGATATCTCATATGAAAGTACATTAAAAGCTAGTAATAAAAATGGTGAGTCGAATTAATATACTTCCATTACCCCAAAGTTATAATCCCTCGAATAAAATCCCAAAATAAATTTTATTTATTTTAAAAATATTGGGGTAAAACAAAAATTTTTTCCGAAATCTTATTGTATAGAGATAAACGATATCTCCTATGAAAGTACATTAAAAGCTAGTAATAAAAATGGTGAGTCGAATTAATATACTTCCATTACCCCAAAGTTATAATCCCTCGAATAAAATCCCAAAATAAATTTTATTTATTTTAAAAATATTGGGGTAAAACAAAAATTTTTTCTGAAATCTTATTGTATAGAGATAAACGATATCTCATATGAAAGTACATTAAAAGCTAGTAATAAAAATGGTGAGTCGAATTAATATACTTCCATTACCCCAAAGTTATAATCCCTCGAATAAAATCCCAAAATAAATTTTATTTATTTTAAAAATATTGGGGTAAAACAAAAATTTTTTCTGAAATCTTATTGTATAGAGAGAAACGATATCTCATATGAAAGTACATTAAAAGCTAGTAATAAAAATGGTGAGTCGAATTAATATACTTCCATTACCCCAAAGTTATAATCCCTCGAATAAAATCCCAAAATAAATTTTATTTATTTTAAAAATATTGGGGTAAAACAAAAATTTTTTCTGAAATCTTATTGTATAGAGAGAAACGATATCTCATATGAAAGTACATTAAAAGCTAGTAATAAAAATGGTGAGTCGAATTAATATACTTCCATTACCCCAAAGTTATAATCCCTCGAATAAAATCCCAAAATAAATTTTATTTATTTTAAAAATATTGGGGTAAAACAAAAATTTTTTCTGAAATCTTATTGTATAGAGAGAAACGATATCTCATATGAAAGTACATTAAAAACTGTCCCTGAAAATGGTGAGTCGAATTAATATACTTCCTTTTCCCCAAAGTTTAAAAATAAATTAAATTTATTTTGGGGTTTTATTCGAGGGATTATAACTTTGGGGAAAAGGAAGTATATTAATTCGACTCACCATTTTCAGGGACAGTTTTTAATGTACTTTCATATGAGCTATCGTTTCTCTCTATACGATAAGATTTCAGAAAAAATTTTTGTTTTACCCCAATATTTTAAAAATAAATTAAATTTATTTTGGGGTTTTATTCGAGGGATTATAACTTTGGGGAAAAGGAAGTATATTAATTCGACTCACCATTTTCAGGGACAGTTTTTAATGTACTTTCATATGAGCTATCGTTTCTCTCTATACGATAAGATTTCAGAAAAAATTTTTGTTTTACCCCAATATTTTAAAAATAAATTAAATTTATTTTGGGGTTTTATTCGAGGGATTATAACTTTGGGGAAAAGGAAGTATATTAATTCGACTCACCATTTTCAGGGACAGTTTTTAATGTACCTCCCCCGCTTTATTTTAAAAACAAAATTTTTCTTTTTTTTATTAAACCAGAATTTAATTCATTTTAAATTTCAGAATTTCTAGGAATAATATTTTTAATAATTCTGATTTTTAAATTTAAATCAGAACTAATTCTGGTTTTTAAAAATCAGAATTAATTCAGGTTCTGATTTTTTATAATTCTGATTCAATTCTGATTTTAAAATTAAAAAAGCTCTGATTTTCAAAATTCTGATTTTTAAAAAATTCTGATTTTTTTAATTTTGATTTCTTTTAAATTCTGATTTTTAAAACTGGTTTTTAAAATAAAAATCAGAATTCTGATATTAAAATTTAAAAAATTCTGATTTTCAAAATTCTGATTTTTAAAAATTCTGATTTTTAAAGTTTATATATATAAATCAGAATTTAATTTTTCTTCTTTGTATTTTTCTTTATTTAATTCTAAATTTTTTAAGATCTTTTCCAACATATTAATATTTTTATTTATTATTTTTATTTTATCCCCTAAAGCTAAACTTTCCTTTTTTGAAGCTTTATTTACTCATTTTCTTCAAGAGACTATTTTTAATAACAATAAAAATACTTTATTTTCCACCGGATGCTTTTCTAATAATAATGCTAAATATTCCTTCTCATCTTTAATTACTTAATTTATCCTTGAGATATTTTTTACAAAAAAAAAGTTTTATTTTAGACAATAGTAAACGCATTTTTATTAAAAAGCCTCATCGTCCCCTTAAAAATTATTTTTATTCTGATTTTTTTAATTCTGATTTGTGAAATTCTGATTTTTTAATTCTGATTTTTTGGAAATTCTGATTTTTTTTCTAAATTATGATTAGAAAATTCTTGTTTGAAATTCTAATTTTTATCAATTCTGATTTTTTAAATTCTGATTTTTTTAATTCTGATGAAAATTTTGATTTATTAAAGTTCTGATTTTATGTAATGAAGATTCTGATTTCGAACATTCTGATTTTTTTGAATTCTGATTTTTAAAAATTCTGATTTTTAATTCTGATTTTCATAGCAACAACACGAAAACAGAACTAGAAGTATTTTTGTTTGCACAATACAGCCATAAATGTCTACTATTAACGACAGTCAAATAATTTTACCAACTAATACTCGTAAAGCTTCAGTTGCCCATCCTTATGTAATGCCTCCCTTGACTCGTTTACGTATTCAACAAAGTTTTAGGAATGCAAAGTGCGAATATTATTAAATTTTTTCTTCCTTATACAGTCAGAACTCATTGCTAAATACCCCTATTGAATAGAGACCGGGCAGGGAGTGTCGTACATACGAGAGTCTCGTCTCTTCGATCGTCTCTTCGATCAAGGTCATGACTCGGTTTCTGTTCTCTATTATTAAATACCCCTATTAGTTACCCTCGAAATTAAATACCCCCAGCATTAGATACCCCCAGAACTAGATATCTCCCTTCTTGAATACCCCCAATTTTGAATACTCCCGTTATTAGACACTCCCAGAAGAGGTTACACCTTTAAGATATACTCTTTTAAATTTGGTTGGGCAATAGGTGATGAGAGAAAGCTGGGGGCAATTAGAAGCAATACCCTCTATTTAATAGACACCCTTATTATAAGTTACGGTTCTTTTCAGCTGTCTAAGGGGGTGTCTAATAAAGAGGTATGACTAAAAAAATATTTTTTATAGACCCATAATTGGACACAAAATTCTGAAACGTGCTTCTACCCTTCGTAATGAACTTAAAATTTTTGTTAATAATTTAAACAAGGAAACAACAAATAAATTGGAAGAAAATATTTTTCGGCTAGTTGTTAATTGTGTTGCTAACGTGGATTTTCCGTCTAAAGTTTGGAAAGGAAAATATTTTTTAATTTTCTGTTAATTTAAGGTAGCTTCAAATTCTTTTGCTTTTGGTGAATTTTTTGCCCAATTTTGTGTTTTTGGATTTCGTCCAGACTTTTTCTCTACAATTGCTGATGCAATGGTAGCAGAATGCGTTAGACAAGATGGGGGTGCTCAGAAGCGTTGCGAGACTTTGTAAATTCTGATTTTTTGTTAAATTATAATTCTGATTTTTTAATATTCTGATTTCTTAAAATTTTGATTTTTGGAAATTCTGATCCTTTAATATTCTGATTTTTATAATTCTGATTCTGAAAATTCTGATTTTTTAAAATTCTGATTTTTAAGATTCTGATTTTTATAATTCTGATTTCTTTTAAATTCTGATTTTCAAAATTCTGATTTCTAAAAAATTCTGCTTTTTGAATTCTGATTTCTAAAAAATTCTGCTTTTTTAAATTCTGATACCTAAAGATTCTGATTTTATAATTCACAAAAATTCTGATATTAAATAAAAATTCTGATTTTTTGTAGAATGGCTTGGTCCCTTCTAATGCAGTTTATTTTCTCTAATGTGCGCGATGGTTATTATGCTGAAGTGCGTCAACAACGGCGTTCTTCTCTGCCCCAGCAGCGATTTTTAATAAAGCAGAATAATTTGAATAATACAGTAACGGGGAGAGGAAGTTTGTAAAAAATATTAAAAAATTAAAAAAAAAATTTTTCTGAATTTTTCAAAATTTCTGGAATTTTTGAGAAAAAAAAATTTTGAAAAAAATTTCAGAAAAATTTCAAAAAAAAAATTTTAATTTTATTTTTAAAAATATTCGTTTAATTTTAATTTTCGCCACACATCACTCTATTTTGATTTTAATGTTTATTTTACGCACATTAAAAATCAGGCGTTTTATATATTTTATTATTTTTAGAGCTTGATTTTTTTATTCAAAAAATTTATTTGTGTTAATTTCCCTAAATATTTTTTATTAAATGTTTCTTAAAAAATAGTTGCTCTCAAACTGAGTCCACCACGTATTTGGTTGACACATGAATTTGTTTTAATTTTTTTTCTAATTTTCTTATGACTATCCAGGCCAACATTTTTAAGATATATTTTAAGCAACGTGTCTCTCCCTTCCCCCTCTCTCCCTTCCAAAAAACACCCACAAAGATTTTTAATTCCTTCCTTAAGTTATCATTTCCAACAATTTATAAATTAAAAAAAAATTTTTTAAATCATGATAGCGTTAATTTTATTATTTTTTTATTTTTTAGATGTTGTAAAAAGCCCAAATATTTTTTGGGCTTTTTGGCTTGTTTAAAAAGCCGAATAAAATCATATATTTATTTTTCTTTTAAAAATTCCTTCAAGAACAAATCTAAAAATTTAAAATGTTATTTTTAATTTTATTTTTATTAATTTCAACTCCTCTTAATTTTATCAATTTTGGCAATTCATTAATTATTAATGGAAATAATTTGGATTTTGATAAAATTAAATTTAATTATTTTCGTATAAAAAGACAAGGAAGATTTAAAAGAGCAAACAAAAAATGGACTTTAGATGAATGTAAATATGCTTCTTTTGGGAAACCGTGGATGTTAGAAGATTGTTGTAAGCAAGGGCATGGGAGGGCTATGATGTTGGGTTGTAATTGATACTGGGAAATGATTTGGGGAAAAATTGATAAATGATAAAATGATTAATTGATAAATGATTATATTTTTGTAAAGGAGATCGGTTATGTGATAACTTTTATGAGAAAAAATTTTTTTTGGCTCTAGTTTAAGATACGCGTCTCATGAGCGTTTAAGTGCCCCTCAGGTTAGTGGACAGTAGTCCATGGATACGTCCCATGAGCAACGATTTAGCTGTGCCAGGGATCCTACCGACGTAGAAATAAAATTCCCGATTTCGGGGATCGGGTCGGCAGGATCCATGGACTGCACTTCGCTTACTGTACTTCATCATGGGACCCCGGGGGCGCTTAAACGCTAACGTATGTATATCGTATGTATATCCTAAACGTATGTATATCCTACGTATGTATATCCTAAATTAGAGCCAAAAATTTTCTAGCTTGATCTAATACAGTCTAATCCCGATAAACGTCTCACTCTCTATTACACCTGTGAGAAGTTTTATCGTGAATTTTATCACAAAACTGATTGCTAAAAATTTAAATGTGTATATCTCTCCCCTTTTTATTATTTCTAATTTTGTGATTGTTTAAATTCTGTAATAAGTATACCTAATTTTTAAGTGGATTATTCCAAATTTATCTTTATAAATTCCAAGTGTTTCGGGTGTACTCAACTGGTATAGTATCGAAAAATAAATTGGTACTCAAGTGTATCTTCTTCGCGTTGAAAAGTCTTGTTTTTCTTCACTTCTCTTCTTCCTCTTTCTCTTGTTTCAATTATTTTAGTACTCATTCTGCCAATATCACATTTAGGCAAGGCTTTTATTTAGCCTTGCCTACAAGGCTAAATATTTGCATTTTGTCAACATGTTTGTTGACAAAATGTGTAATTTTACCCTTATTGGCAAAATGTGATATTGGCAGAATGTGAGTTTATCGTTCTTATTTTCGAAGTGTAACCAACCGAAAATATATCGAATAATCAACAATTAAAAACGCTAAATTGTAACAAACTTTTTTAATTTCTTTCGTTTTAAAAAGTTTAGAAATTTTTGCTTATTAGTCGTGCATTCTAGAGATAGGCCTGGGTCTGGACCAAGGCTTGGGATTTTCCTGTACTCAGCGTCAAGGTCCAGGCACTTTTTGACCTTCCTGGGTTTTTCCTGGACTACAAGCCCAGGATCCTGTCCAGGTCAAGAAATCAAACTCCAGAGTCAAGGACAGGTCCAGGCTTTTCAAAATTTCCGATCTCTAGTGCATTCTTTATTTATTTGAAATTTTGCTTCTATTCGGTTTCTCTTCGAATTCAAAAAATGTCTGAGGAATATATTGTAGCCGAATTTGATTACCAAGCTCAAGAAGACCAGGTTCTTTTTAATTTCAATATTCTTAAAATGTGTCTTTGTTTTTTAGGAACTTTCATTAGTCAAAGGAGAGAGGCTTGTATTGATTGATGATAATAAACTTTGGTGGAAGGTTTTTTTTGCTTTATTGCTTTTGAATACAAGTTTTCTTTCAAAGGCACGCAATATGCATGGAGATGTTGGATTTGTACCGAGTAATTATGTCAGGAAAGAAGGTTGTTATTTTTGAATTTTGGGTTATAGGGCATTCACCGGGACTCTCCTGTTTTATATTCGAGGCGGATCGTCACAAAGTGCAGGTTCACTGCCGAGCGTCGGGGCAAGTCCGTTTTGGGCACTATCCAATGTGTTTATTTGGGGATAACGAGCACGTCAGTCTATCACAGAGTTATAACCGTTGATTTAGGGTATTATCCGGCTTGACTAGTCACGTTCAAAATTGATCACTTGGTCTTCGACCTAGTTATAATGTGATGGACTGGGTTGTGTAAATCAGGTGGGACCTTAAGGAGCAATTGCCCTTGAAATTCGGATCTACATCTGGACTGGGTTGTGTAAATTAGGTTGGACCCGGAGGAGTAATTGCCTCTGAAATACCTCCATCCTTTCGGTTATGTTCCTTTGAGCTTTCTATTGAGTTCGACCTCTTTATACCTTTATATACACTTTAATTTCAGCAAGTAACAAAAACAACAACAATGCTGAAGCCTTTGCTTCGTCTGATCGAGTAATTTTCTTTTCTAATTTTCAAATTTTTTTAATATTTTAGAGAGAAAATGTGTTAACCATGGCAACCGTCTTGTTTAACTATACGCCTCAAAGAGAAGACGAACTTCCACTTAAGAAAGGTACAAAGCTTGTAGTTTTGGATAAATCTTCGGATGGTTGGTGGAAAGGTGAAGAAAAATTTGGAAATTTTCGGAAAGGTTGGTTTCCTTCAAATTATGTAAAGGAAGAAGAAATTGGTGGAAATGAGGAAAGGGAAGAGGAGATTGAAGAAAAAAGTGTGAAAAATGGGCAGAGACACCAGAAGCAACAGGTTGGGAGAGGACAACAACAACAAAATGAACATTTGAAGCAAATTTCAAAAAAAGTTTTGGAGGTTTGGAATTTTTTTGCAGTCCGGATAAGTTTCTTGGGCGTTTTGTAGCTCGGACTCCGGGCATTTTAAAAGATTGGCTTCGGCTCCAGAGTCTAGCCCTTTGGAGCCGCTCTATATTGCTCCGGGCTCATTTTGTTTGTGTTTCATTGGGAATTTAGGTGAATTAAGAGAGATATCGACTCTCATCAAGCTCTGGGCTTGATTCTTTCTGGTTCTCTGGGTTTGATTCTTTCTGGTTTCTTAAATTTTCTATTTGTTTTTGGACTGCTTGCCTATCTAATTTACGTCTATTTTCTCTTCTAGTTGCTTTTTTTGAAAATACTTAATAGTAAAATAAGAATTTATAAATTTTAGATTGTTATTTGCCTCTATTCCTTCGAAGCGCAAAGCTCTCAAGAATTGTCTTTTTCGAAGAATGAAAGACTGGATATTTTGGAACATCCAATTGATGTATTTCTTTAATATTTTTTTTTACAAAAATTGTTTTAAGGATCCAGATTGGTGGTTAGCTAGAAACCAATGTGGTCAGACAGGTTTTTATTTTTCTTTAAGTTTTTGTTTATTTTTTAAATTTTACAGGACTCGTCCCAACGGTTTGTTGATGATTTTATTTGTGATGAACCCAGAAAGTCAAATCCAAATATCTGAAAGGTTTTGTAGAGAGAGATTTTTGCGTATAAAAGTTGTATCGGTGGATCTGACAAATGAGCGGATAAGTTAGGATTTTTTGGAATTAAGGAGGAATAGGTGACATTAGTCGGAAATTCTCGCGTGCAACAGCCAGATAAGACAAAAAGGGAGCAGACATATTTTTGATTTTGAGCCCCTTTATCCGCCCACATATATTTGGATTTGTTCTTCTTTTGAGTTGTACTCATTTTAGTTAAATTTTTTGAAAATTTTTTAAAAATTAATTTTTAAAGAATTATATTGAAATAGTCGAAAGAAACCCTTTAAGAAGTGCATTTGAAAATTTACATCCAAATAACAACAAGTCTTCAATTTCACCATCTTCATTTGCATCATCTCCCCAGCCTTGCAGCGGTGTCTATATTGGGAATAGTAATAATCAAAATACAAATTTTGATCAATTGAGTGGGCCATATTCTCGACAGCCGTGGTATTTTTTGAAAAGTTTTTTTTTAATTTTTTGAAAAAAAATTTTTTCAAGAAAATTTTCAAAATTTTTCGGAAATTTTTTTGAAATTTTTTTTGAAATTTAAAAAAAAATTCTGGACTTTTTGAAAAATTTTTTTAAATCTTTCAAAAATTTAGAGGAATTTTTTGATCTTTTTTCCAAAAATTATTCAAATTTCGAAAAAAAAATTTTTTTTAATTAAAAAAAAATTTCTGAAATTTTTCAAAAAAAATTTTTTTGATCTTTCAAGAATTTTGCCTAATTTTCCACAGGTATTATGGACACATAACAAGAGAACAAGCAGATTTATTATTAAAACAAAGAGGAAGTGAAGGAGATTTTTTGGTATTTTTAAATTTTTATAATCGAAAAAAATTTTCTTTTTCAAAGGTGCGAGACAGTGAATCAATGCCTGGCGATTTTTCTATATCCTTGAGGGATAGCCAAAGAAACAAACATTTTTGGATTCATTATGATTCTGCTAGTGGACAATTTAATATTGGAAATAAAAAATTTAATTCTATGGAGGCGTTGATTATGTGAGTTAGGAGAGAGGTTTATTTAAATTAAATTCAAGTTTTACAATTCAAGTTAATTACAAATTGTAAAAAAATTTAAGTTTGTTTAATTGCTAGGTTTTAAACTTGATTTGTAAAACTTGAATAGTGTGTTTTATTCAAGTTTTACAATTCAAGTTTGAAAGAAATTACAAATTGTAAAAAAAAATTAAAGTTTATTTATTGATAAGTTACAACTTGGTTTGTAAAACTTGTTATTTTATTCAAGTTTACAAGGGTTTAATTAAAGTTTAACAATTCAAGTTTATTTGTAAAACTTAAGGGTATAAGATTAGAACTTTGTAAAACTTGTTACTATTTTTTCAAGTTTGTAAAACTTGAATTGTTTTTTATCTAAGTTTTGCAAATGGTTTTCTCTTACTTACATCGTTAGTTTAGTTGGTAGAGCGTGGGGTTGTTTTTATTCGGTTCTTCGAAAGATCGAAGGTTCGACCTCCATCGGTTCCTTTCGTTGTCATAATAATTTTTTAAGACCATTCTTAATGCTAGAAATATAATTTTGATTTTTTTAAATTAATTTTTATTTTTTTTTATTTTTTTCAATTTTAAATTTATATTTTTCAGTTACTACATGAGTCAACCAATTTTCAGTGACAACGATGTTAATTTATTTCTTAGGAAGCCTTTACCAAAATAATTATTTTTTGTTTATACAAATTCTTTGGATATATTGGACATTATATTTATTTCTTTTGTTTGGCTCAGAATCATCAAAGTTTTTTTTTATTTTTTACTTAAAAGTTCAAAAATTTTGCTTCTCTATATCTGATATTTTTCCTTAAATTTTTTGACAAATTTATTTTATCAAAAACCCAAAGCTTATGAAAATATTGTATTATTTTGCTTATTATTTTGGCTTATTTTTTTCTCTATCAAATTTTATATTTTGGAATGAATTCTCTAAAATTATCCAAATTTTCCCCTTTATTATAAATATATTTTATTATTCCTTGTTTTCTTGCCCCATGTCTCGTAAAATGATTTTAGATAATTTTCCCTTGTTTATTTTAAAATTCCCATTTTGCGTTTGAAAAAAAAATTTTTGAGAGAAAATTTCCAAGAAAATTTTTTTTGAATATTTTTTCAGAATTTTTAGTCGAAGGATTTTTAGTCGAGAATTCGAGAGTTTTTAGTCGAATTTCTGAGAGAAAATTTTTTTCAACCAAAAAGATTTTTTTGCTTATATATGTATATCCTTCAAAGACTGCATAAATATTTAACTTTTGAATAGTATAATATTTTTTTAAAAATATTTTGATTTGGTCGAATTATACCAAACTTATCTCTAATTGTTTTTTCAGAATTTTTTAGAAAAAATTTTTTATGGGAAAGATGGTGACGAGAAAAAATTTTTTCTTTTTAAATGTTAAAACGAGGTTTTGAGAGGTTTATTTTTTATATATTTTCAATTACTAATTATTTTAATTTATATATAGGCTTTTAATGACTAGCTGGTTTGTGGCCTTAAAACATTGGGAGTGAACATTGGACAAGAAAAAGGAAAGGGAAAACAAGCAAATAATGAGAGGAATGAATAAATTGGTATGGGGCATGTTTTGAAGAGGAGAAGAAAAAGAATAAAAATTCTCGGCATCCGTTCATCATATTTTCTTTCTATGTTTGGCCATTGACCCTTGACAGGAAATCCGACTACTACTACAAAATTAGCGAAAATGGAAATGAGGGAGGAGAAGGAGGGATTGGTTCGGTTATTTTTAAAAATTTTTGCAAAATGAGAATTTTTATTTTTAAGTATTTAATCTTTAAACTTTGTGGTTTTAATTAATTTTTGGGATTTTTAATTTGGGTGCTACTGTTTTTCTCGGGTTTTCTATTTCAATATTTTTTCACCCTCTGATTTTTATAAGATTTTCCTTTTATTTTCTTTTTAGTGGGATCATTTGTCATTCAAATCTGTGCCCTCCAATTTTTTAAATTTTTATTGTCCATATTTGTTTTTTGTGGGTTCAATTGTCATTGAAGTCTCCCCCTTTCTATTTTTTTAAATTCTTTTTTTTTCTTCAAATTCTGATTTTTATTTTTAGTTAGAATCCCTTTCTTCTCGTCGTTCATTTTGTCTTTAAGCTAGGCTTGACATGTCACGTTTCCTCTTGCAAAATTCTTTTCTAGGGTCTTTAGAATTTTCAAATTCTTCAAAATTTCTGGTTTTTTATTTAGAATTTTGTCCTTTCTTTAAGACGGCCTAAACTTGACTTTTTTCTCACAAATATTTTTTAATTATTTTTTTGTATTATTACTTTCTTAATTTTTTCTATTTTTTTTCATCTTAATAGATTAGCATTTTATACATATATTTTATTAAATACCGCCCTACCTTGCTCCGCCTTTTGAAGAAAAAAAGGGTGCACTACGGGAGGTGAAAAGGAATTGGGAAGGGTTTTAGTGTAGGGAATAAGGGGGAATGTCATTCATATATCTCTCATCTTCTTTTTTGGTGGTGGTGGACAGCTTAATGTCCACTTTTTATTAGTTTTTTTCCGATATCATTCCTTTGGGGTTTTTTTTATTTTTTATGATTAGGGTTGCCGTTTTTGGGCTGATTTTTAAGAAAACTTTTTTGAAGCGATTCTTTGAGCTTTCTAATTTTTTTTATTTAGTTTTTTTTTTCTGGGATCAAATGTCATTCACATCTTTCTTTTCTGATATTTTTATTTTCTGAACTTTCTTTTTTCTGCAAAATATGGTCATAAGGGATTGTTTATAATTCTTTCAGACCAGATATGTGAGTCCGGCTTGGACTAATTTTTCTGACCGTGGCATTTTTCCCTTCTGATATTTTTATATTTTTTCTTCAAAATCTGCTCTGAAAGCATTGTACTTTCTTTCAGACCAGATAAGTGAGCTTGACTTGGACTAATTTTTTGACCGAGGTTGACTTGAGGTTTCATTTTCTAGATTTTTTTATTTACTTTCTTTTTTCTTTCTTTTTAAAATTTTTTTAAAAGTTTTCCAAAATTTTTATTTTATAAATTTTCCACCTACCAACTAAAAATAAAAGAGAAACTTAATCCAATAATAAGTAAAAATAGGGGGAAGAAGTTAAATTATATATGATGCTTTGTGTGGGTCATTTTCTTTTATAAAAAAGTTCATTAGTGTTGAAAATTGATAAATTAGAGAGGGACAAACAAAAGCTTTTTAAAATTGTTTGAGGAAAATAGGTGAGATGATTGACTAAACAAAAAGCTTTTTGTGTGGTCAAGCAAAGTTTATTTTAAAAGTGTAAATGTAAAATAATTTTTAACGAAATTTTAATTAGACGTTAAAAATTTTATTTTTAAATATTTTATTGTTATTTTTTTTCTCTTTTTTTTGTTTAATTACTTGAAGATTTTGTCTATTTTTACTTTTGAATTTTTCTTTTTAGAATTTTTTCTTACTAGGATTTTTCTTCTAGAATTTTTTGGATTTTTTTAGAATTTTTTCCTTCATCTGATTTTCTTACTCCCAGGATTTTTTTCCTTTTTAGATTTTTTCTTCCGGCCTACGATTTTTTTCTCCCGGTATTTTTCTTTTTAGGATTTTTCTTCTGGGATTCCTTGAATTTTTTTTTCATATAATTTTCTTCTTTCCAGGACTTTTCCTTCTTTAGATTTTCTTCTTACTTCCTAAGATATTTTTCTCTACGATTTTTCTTCTTCTTAGGATTTTTCTTTTTAGGATTCTTCTTTCTTATGTTAGGTTTTTCTTCCTTCTTACTTAGGATTTTTTCTTCATAAGATTTTCTTTCTTTCCGGGATTCTTCCTTCTTTAGATTTTTTTTACTTCCTAGTGCATTTTTCTCCTGGTATTTCTTTCTCTACAATTTTCTCTCTACGATTCTTCTACGATTTTCTAGGATTTTTCTTTTTGAGGATTTTTTTCTTCTTGGGGTTTGAATTGTTTTTTACTTTTATTTTTTGTTTTTCTAAGGGTAATGAAGATTATTCGTATATATTTTTTTAATCTTCCTTTTTTTCACACTAAAATGGACATTCCTTCAATTGTTTTAAAGCATTTGACTTTTCTCATTTTCTTTTTTTAATTCCATTACACTCTCCTCATTCATTTTTACTTGCTATTAATTTTCTTTTGTGGTGTGGTCAATTCCCCTAAGGAGAGGGAGGGGATGAAGGACTTCCAGCAAAGATAAATTTATTTACTCATTTCCTTCAATCTTCTTAAAAATAAATTTCAAATTAAATGTAGTAGTAGTACAAAAATGGCTTTGAAAAAGGGAAAATCTTCGAAAAAGGGAAAATCTTCTAGGTTTGAGGGGGTTTTGAACTGAAAATTTTTTAAGTTTTGTAGGGTTTTTTTCTGTGTTAAAGAAAATTTTTTTAATTTTAAAGTTGGTCTTTCCCTTTTTTAATTCAAAATTCCATTAAATTTTAATTTTTTTAGTAATTAAAAAAAATTTTTTTAACAGACTTTCAACAACAGCAATGCATTTTGGATTTATTACTACTATTTATTTTATTTTTCTTCAAATTTTTGATGGTTCAACCAAATTAGGAGAAAATATTTTGGAAAGGAATGATTCTAAATTGCGACTTGGACAGTTAGTTTTTTTTAATTTATTTTTTTTTGGTTTTATTAGTTTAGGAGACGTTATTAATTTTTATTAATTTTGGGGACATTATTGTTCTCTTTATATTTTTAAATTTTTTAAAGTTTTTTTTTTATTTTTGGAGGGAGGGGGGTTATTATAATGTATTGGGGTCTAGAGCCAATATCGAGTCATTTTTTATATTTTTTTCGAATTTGGGGGGTTTTTTATATTTTTTTCGAATTTGGGGGGTAAGGGCCAATTTGTGACATAATTTTCCTTTCTATATTTTTGAATTTTTTTACAAGTTTTTTTGAGGGTCGAGACCCAATTCTGGTCATATTTTTTTACTTTTTCGGAACAAAAGCCCAATTTCGGGACATTATTGTCCTTCTTTTACATGTTTTTTTAAAATTATTCACAATTCTTTTTTGATTTTCCAATATTCTATTTCCGATGTATTTTTTAATTTCCGTCAATCAAATTTAAAAAAAAAAACAATTTATATATATATTTCCTTTTATAAAAAAAGGACAATTTGTCCCCCTCTTTTTCCAATTAAAAAATCAGATCAAAGCCTTTCCCTCTTATTTTTTTCTTAAAAGTTTGTAGAATTGGGGGGATTGTTATTTGTAGGATTGTTGTTGTAATGTTGAGATGAGTTTATTGAATAGGAAAATATTGTGGAGGGAGAATGAGTTTTTTAGAGGATATTTAAGGGACTTTTAAGGAATTTTTTGTATCTTTAAATTAAATTAAAAAAATTTTTTTTTTTGAATTTACCATTTTACCCCAAAAATATTTTAGCCAAAAAAATTATTTAATTTTTATGATTTTGTTATTATTTTTTTCTCTTTTTATTTTTTCCTAAAAATAACAAAAAAATTAATAGAAAAATAGGACCAAAAATTGAACAAAAAAGGAGGGGGAAGGGAAAGAGAACAGTGTGTGTTTTTGTTATGTTTTGTGTTGTAGGAAATGTGGCAAAATTTACAAAAGGGGAAAAATGCTTTTTCTGTTTTATTGTTATTATTTTTGGTGAATGGGAGAGGGGAAAAATTAAGGAAAAGCCAAGTATTAAGGAAAGGAGAGGGGTCAGAATAAAGCAAAGGGGAAAAGACGGAAAATTTTTAATTTTTATAAGAGGGATGGTGCCCGATTTTGACCGTTCCGAATGATCGAGTCGGGCTTTGATTTTTGACCCGAAAAAGACTCGGTCGGGCCGGCCCGATAAATATGGCTCGAACGTCGGCCTGACTCGAAAATTCCAACACTATTTATAAGGTTAGAAGTAAAGGGGGAGATTAAAGAATTATATTATTTAAATTTTTATATTATTTGGATAGGTTTTTGAATTTTAGAGAGGAAGAAAAATTAAGGAAATAACAACATATGTGTGCATAAATTAATAAAAATTATTTTTATATTGTTGTTGCCATTTTTGAAATTTTTTGTGGGGGTGTTTTTATTGAGGGTGATAGTGTGAAAAATAAGGCTTCTAGAAAATAGATGCCAAAAATGTCGGAAGAGTGAGAGATTCCTCTCTTTATTTTTTAATTTTTCGGCAAGAAAAAATGTTGCGCAATGATTTGTGAGGAATAGAAAGGAAATTAAGGAGGAAAAGGTGCTACCAACTAGTTGATTTTAGTGAGAGATAAAAATAAAATTGGGAAAGATGACGGATGGATATAAGAAAAAAATTTTTTAATGTCGAGAGAATTAAGGGATTATTGCGAGAAAGATTAAATTAAGGGAGCAGACCAACGTACCGCGAGCCCAACGTACCGCCGAGCCATAACTTCGTTCAAAATAGTCGAATCAGGGACGCCTTGGTTTGTTTGGATGCATTGCGACGAGCCGAATCGAACCATATCAGGGCGTCGCGGATTCGAACGAAGTTATAGCTCTGCGATACGTTGGTCTTTTTTGTCTGGTTTCTCTTCCTTTGTCTTCTCTCTCATTTTTAAATTTAAAAAATAAACTTTTTTATTAAAAGCTTTAAAATTTTTAATTGTAAAATAGCCAAGAAATGAAAGAATATTTAAACAAACAAACATTTTTGTGTGGTAGAAAGAGATAAATAACATTTTAGCAAACAAACAAATAGGCAAACAAAAACAATCCTTTTTACCAGCCGATTCCGGAAGGGTAAGAAACTTTAAAAGAGGAGAAGAGTAAAGGTGTGGCTTTTTAATGTTTTTCTTAAAGGATTGTTTTGTTGATTTTGAAGAGAATATTTGATATTATAAAGAGAAAAATAATAAGTTTAAAAACATTGTTTTGTGTAGGTAAAGAGTTGAGATTATTAAAACAAGTTTATTAATGAAAAACAAGTTTGAATTGTAAGACAAGTTTAATTGAAGTAAAGTTTGATTTGTAAAAACAAGTTTAATTAAAAATAAACTTTATTGTTAAAACAAGTTTATTTTAAAGTTGGAAGTTTTTTAATTTAATATAAAGTTTGTAAAACATTTTTAAAGTTTGCAAAACAAGTTGACTTGATTTTCAAAAACAAGTTTAATTAAAAACACAACATTTTCATTTATTTTTTTCAGAAGAAATGTTTGTCCACACGAAGAATTACAAATACAAACAGTTCGAAGGCCATGTATGCGTGCACTTACTCGATACGTACGAACAAGAAAGGCTAGAAATTGTCATTATGGATCTAATTCTGCTGGGTGTGCAGTTCGTGTTCCTAAGTTTGTTTTTTTCATTTAAAAAATTTAAAAAAATCAGGATTTTTGGGGGTAGAGTGAGGAATTTTTGAGTTAATCTCTCTAGTTTCTCGTTGTTCTTCCACCTTTTTTTGATCATCTTTTTAAGTCAGATTCTCTCTCATATCCTATCAATTTTACATAATTTTTTTACTTGACCTTGCCCTTTCACGAGATTATTATTATTTTTTTATCGTTCGGCGGGGTTTGTGTGACCCTTCACTTTCCGTTCTCCCAAAACACATTGTAGAGCTGCGGGTGTGTAGTAAAACTGAAAAAAGGATGCTGTGAAAATGTACACTTTAGAGACAATTGGGTGACAATCATGGCGCGATTATTATTTTATATATTTTTATTGAATGTTGAGAAAATGCCTGTCTTATAGGGGATATAAGGGGGTGGGGGTATAGCCAAGCAATAAATCATACATATTATAAAAATGAGGTTATACCCAGATGATCACAATGTCTGTTTATTGGTAGTCTAATAATGGTTCAATAACGGTTTTTCATATACACATAGGTTGAAGACTAATTTCCTTTTTCCAATGTCAGCTCCAAGGGTTTAAAAGTGATTTTTCACCTTTCTTTGTGTTACAATTTTTTTGATGATCTTCTGGGTCTATCCAATACAGAAAATACGACAAGATTTATTTACATGAAATATTTTTTCGCTTCATTCCACTAAATTGCCGACTTAATAATAATAATAATAATCTTTTTTGGGGGATATAAAAAGGATATATAAAAAAGAACATGATTGAAAAGGACAAAAAATACATATTTTTTGTATAAAACTTTACAAGTCAAAAAATTACATGTTAAATCATGTAGAATAATTGTAAAAATATGGGGGGGGGGGGGGGATTCTAATTTTGTTTTGATTTTTTTACTTTGAAGCAAATTAAAATTTTTATTTTTCAGAACATTCTATTTTCACTCAACAACAAATTCAACAAGAAAGCGTCGTGAATTGATACCTGAATGTTGTCCAGGTTGGATACACTTGGAAGGAGAAGATGGGTGTTTAAGAGGTTTTTTTTGAAGAAAATATTAAGAGAGGGGGTTGAGTTAATTAAGAGAGGGTTGAGTTAATTTTAGAAGTCCGATGAACTTTTCCAATTACAGGAATCGAGGTTCCTTACCCAGAAATGTGAATCCCTTATTTTTTGAGAACCAAAATTTGAGAATATTCTAACTAGGAATTCTCAGAAACCGGCCCACGAAATTGAAAAATTGGCGAAATTTGAAAATTAATTTAAATTTTCTAAAAAAATTGTTGAATTAAATTGACAAACTTTTCTTTTTGTTTCAGAATTTTTTTCAGAACGTATTGAAGTTTTTTGGATTTAATTGGGCATCCTTTATTCTGGGCATCCTTCATTTTACTCATAAACTAGACTTGGGCAGAAATTAAATTTAAAAATTTTTTATTAAAATTTCTCTTCATTATAGCTAATTGTACTCCACAATTATGTGAAAATGGAGGTGTTTGTTTGCCTGAAAATGAATTGGAAGGGAATTTTAACAACAAACTTTGTCAGTGCCCTACAGGATTTGATGGGTCTACTTGTCAATTTGGTTTTTTAATTTTTTAAAATTTTGGAAAATTTTTTTAAAAAAAGATGTAAATGAATGTTTGGCAGGAAATGGAGGTTGTGAACATGAATGTGTAAATATTGTAGGCAGTTTTTATTGCAAATGTTATAGTGGATTTGAATTGGCTGAAAATGGTGTTAATTGTATTGGTATATTTTTAGAATTTTTTAAAGAAAAGAATTTTGTCCGCAAGATATTTGCGGACAAAAAATTTTTTTGCGGACAGTTTCTTTGTCCGCAAGATTTTTGCGGACAAAAATTTTTTTGCGGACAGTTCTTTGTCCGCAAGATTTTTGCGGACAAATTTTTTGCGGACAGTTTTTTTTGTCCGCAAAAATTTCTTGCGGACAAAAAATTTTTTGCGGATTCTCAAATTCTATCCTTTAGATGTGGATGAATGTTCAATATCTAATGGTGGTTGCCAATTTAAATGTATAAATACAAAGGGTGGTTATCTCTGTCAATGTCCATTCCCAAGTCAATTAGCCCCAAATGGACGTGATTGTATTAAAGAAAATTCTTGTAAAAATCAAAATGGAGGTTGTGAACAAATTTGTGAAGAAAGGACGAGTGATTCAAGTTTTTGGAGATGTAGATGCCGAAAAGGATATAAATTGGGGGAGGATAGAAAAAGTTGTTTTGGTGAGGAAAAAAATTTAAAAAATTTATTTAAAAAATATTTTTTGCGCACAACATTTGCGGACACTAAATTTTGTCCGCAAAAATATTTGCGGACAAAAAAAAATTTTTTTTTAATTTTTCTCCTTCAGTTGAAAATCCCTGTGCAGTAGAAGAAAATCGTTGTCAACATTTTTGTTTAAATGCTGGAAATGGCAAAGCTAAATGTCAATGTTATCCAGGTTTTAAATTAGCTGAAGACCAATTTAGTTGTGTTGGTAAGAGAAAAAAAATTTTTTTGAAAATTTAAAAAATATTTTTAAAAGATATTAACGAATGTATTGAAAATGAGTCGCCTCTATGTTCTTTTAATTGTGAAAATACTTATGGAAATTATTATTGTGTTTGTCCTGAAGGTTATCAACTTGGTGAAGATGGATATAGTTGTGAACCTAATAGACTGGGTAAATTTATTTTTATTAAAAACAATTAATTTCAATGTTTTTATATGAAATAAAAAAAATAAACTTGTTTTACAAATTGTTTAAAAACAAGTTTATTTTTAAATAAACTTGAAATTCTCATATGTTTTAAATAAGCATGTTTTTGTGTTGTTGAAAAAAAATAAACTTGTTTTAAAATAAAGTTTAATTTTTTACTAGTTTTTACAATTATGTTTGTTTTACAAATAAACATGATCAAACAAGTTTATTATTTTATAAACTTACTTTACATTTGTTTAGAAACAAGTTTATTTTTTACAAAACTTGAAATCACAATGTTTTAAATAAACTTGTTTTTGTTGTGTTCAAACAAGTTTTATTTTCTCAGGTTTTTAAATTGTAAAAACAAGTTTATTTTTTTTTACAATTCACTTTCTGTGTTTTGTGTACGTTTGTAAAACATGTTTGTTTCAATTTTCAACAAACAAAACATTTCAGCTTCACCATTTATTTTTGCTAAACAACAACAATTTACTATTGATTCTCTACCCCCACTTTTTGAAAAATCAGAACAACAACAAAAAAGTTTACAACCCGAACGTCTTAAAATTAGAGGAATAGCACAACATTATGAGACAAAACAACATTCTATATTGCCTATTTTAAACAACAATAAGGAAAAAGGTTTGTTTATGTTGTTGGTTTTTGGTTTTATTTGTTTGTTGTCTTGTTGTGGTTTTTATTTGATTTAGGGGGAGGGGGGGTCTGAAATTTTTTTCTGGTTTTTGAATTTTTTTTCAAAAAAACTTTTCGAAAATTTTCAAAAATGTTCAGATATCGAATTTTTAAAATAACTAAGTCTTACGAAACTCGCCTGTTGAGTATGCCAGTTGAGTCTAGCCAGAACAACCTCCTGTACTCAACTGTCGAGACTCTTCCGACCTAATTTCATAATGTCAAATTTCATTTAGCAGAAGCAGAAATGTCCATATCAACAGCCTGTACATTTGGCCATTTTGGTTCGGATTGTGAATATTCCTGTTCTGATTGCAAAAATGGTGGAGGCTGTAATTATTTGAGAAATAAATGTGAATGTATGCCTGGATGGCAGGGCCAATTATGTGAATTGCCCTGTTTAGAAGGAACTTTTGGTATTGAATGTTCACAATATTGTCAATGTGGAGGAGCTAATTGTAATTCTATTACTGGTGAATGTTTGTGTTTAAATGGAACAACAAAATGTGAAGATGAAAATTGTTTAAAAGGTTTGTTTTTTTAAACGAAGATGATTGAAAATGTGTGAAGCTTGGGGGGGGGCATGATTTTGCTGACTTTTTTCTGTGGATTTTTTAGGGTCTTTTTTGGAGTTTTTTGCTGACTTTTTTCATTTGCCCTATTGTTAGGTTTATCATTTGCTTGTTTGGACATTTTTAAAAAATATTTGAATAAAATTTCTTTTTAGTTTAATCAAAGGTACTTTCCTGTTATGACGCAACACATTTAAATTTTTTTGAAAAAGCTAAAAATGCTCAACACAGTTAAGAGTTAGGCATGTTAAGAGTTAGGCATGAACAAAACACTACGGTAGACTGGTCTCAATATATGCGGGAAATTTGTGCTTATCATCTGCTTCAAAAAGAACCATAAAATTTTTTCCCATTTTTGCTTCAAAAAAAAGAACAAATTCCGCCAAACACCCACTGAGGTGGGAAAACACGTGGGAAAAGGGGGGAAAAATTTTATGCTTATTATTACTATTTTTGAACATTTTTAGCTTTTTTAAAAAAATTTAAATTTGTTGCGTCATAACAGGAAAGTACCTAATCAAAATAAATAAGCTGTAACCCTATAGAAATATGTGAAAAGGTAGCCTCCAAAAGTGAACACATCATTTTTATAAAAAAATTTTTTTAAAGGATATTTTGGTCCAAATTGTTCTTCAATATGTAAACAAAATTGTAGAGATGGAAGTTGTGATAGATATTTAGGTTTTGTTTGTTTATTTTTTTGAATCTTTTTTTTTTGTTTTAAAGGAATTTGTCTTTGTTCTGATGGATATTTTGGTGACAAATGTGATTTGCCTTGTCCTGATTGGACATATGGAAAGAACTGCCAAATGTCTTGTCGTTGTTCTCGTGAGGGAACTCAAAAGTGTGATACAAAAGTATTTTTTTTAGTTTTAAATAAATAGGGAGTTTTTTTCTTTATTCTCCCAAAAATCCGCAAATTTATCAGCAACTCTCCATAATTTAGAAAAATCGAATTTCTATGATTTTTTCCTAAGGAAACAGAAAATTCTTTCCTCATGTATTCCTTGCAAATGACACAATACTAGTTTTCTTCCCAAGGAAAAATTCCACATTTTGCACTAAATTTTTCGGACTATTAGGACCAGGAAGGAAAAAATTATCTTTTTTAATAAAATATTTTTTCTAAATATTTTTTAGACTGGTTCCTGTCAGTGCCTTCCTGGTTTTCAAGGTATTTATTGCCATCAAAGATGCCATTTTGGATTTTTTGGTGATAATTGTTCTCAAGAATGTAATAATTGTCCTCGAAGAAATTGTGACTCAAAAAATGGTGTTTGCTTAGATTCTGAATTTGAAATTGTTTCAAAATGTCAACCTGGCTATTTTGGTGAAAATTGTGAAAAAGGTTTGTGATTAAAATTTTTTTTTAATTTTTAAAAATTTTTTGACAGTTTGTCCAACTGGAAAATATGGAAAGAATTGTTCTTTGGAATGTAAATGTTTTGATAATGAGGAAAATCTTTGTCATCCCGTCAGTGGTATTTGTTTACAAATAAATTGTCCTGATGGAAAATATGGACCCAACTGCAATTTTGATTGTTTCTGTGAAAATGGCGCAACTAGATGTGAATCTTTAAATGGAACATGTTTTTGTAAAGATGGTTTTTATGGGCCTAAATGTAGTGAAAGTTTGTTTGTCTTTTATTTGATTTTTTTATTTCGAAATTTTCGAATTTCCAAAATTATTTTTAAAATTCTTTGTAGGATGCCCACCAGGCCGTTTTGGTCCAAATTGTAAAAATGTTTGTGGATGTCAAAATGGCGCACATTGTGATTCTAACGATGGAAGTTGTTTATGTCCAGCAGGTTTTTTTTATTTTTTTGAAAATTTTTAAAATTCTTTCTAAAGGCTTTCATGGCAAATTTTGTGAACATCTCTGTCCTCGTGGTACTTTTGGTATTAATTGTATGGAAATTTGCGATTGTGAAGTTTCAATGAATAGTTCAAGTCATTTGGAGTACAAAATGGAAGGTTGCTTTTTAAATTAGAAAATAATTTTTTTGAAAAAAAAATTTTAGAAGGGCATCAATCTGAACAACAACAGCAACCATCTCTGGTTCATTTGGGCACAGATAATTGTAATCCAATTGATGGTGATTGTATTTGCCCGCCTGGTTTTTATGGGAAACGTTGTGAACAAGGTAAAATAAAATCGAAAAAAATTTTTTCAAAATGTCCAACCGACAGAATGCCCAAACGACAAATTTGGCATTCAATGTACTGGTACTTGTTCTTGCCAAAACGGTGCTTCATGTAATTCAGCAACAGGAGAATGTGAATGTGCACCTGGATACTGGGGTGAACATTGCGAGCGGGCATGTCCTTCTGGAACTTTTGGTGAAAAATGTGGGAATAAATGCAATTGTGGTGCAGAAGTAGACAGAGGAGATGTTGATGATATAAGGTTTCAATTTTTAAACATTTTGGCAAGCTGTTATAACGCCAAAACGTTGAAATACCAAACTCCGACTGTTTGGCATTTCGGCGCCTTTTAGGTGTTTGGCATTTCAACATTTTTCCATTATGACGCGCTCCTATTATTTTTATAGATGTCACCATGTAACAGGAGAGTGTCAATGTCCTCCAGGATTGACTGGCCAATTATGCAATGAAAGTTGTCCTTTGGGAAGATGGGGACCTGGATGTTCTGAACTGTGTAATTGCTCATCAAATAGAGAAGGAGGAAAGTGTAATCCTGTTACTGGCTTTTGTGAATGTTCTGCTGGATGGATGGGACGAAATTGTGAATTTGGTTTGTTTTTTAAAAAAAATTTTTGTCCGCAACTTTATTGTCCGCAAGTTTAAATAATTTTTTTTCCTTTATTAGAATGCCCTTCTGATTTGTATGGGCCAAATTGTCTTGAACATTGTCTTTGTGCAAACGGGGGAAAATGTAATTCTAAAACAGGAGAGTGCTCATGTTCTTCTGGATGGACTGGAAAAGGATGCGAATTTCGTTAGTTTGATTTTAGGAAAATTTTTTAAAATTTTACATTTTTAGCTTGCCCTTTTGGTCTTTTCGGTATTGGTTGCAGTGATAAATGTGATTGTAAAAATGGTGCAAGTTGTAATCATACAACTGGAGAGTGTTTTTGTTTACCTGGATGGACAGGAAAAAGGTTACTTAATGTTCTTTTTTGGTTAATTCTTAAATGTCCGTAGCTTTTTGTCCGCAAGTTTTTTGTCTGCAAGTTTTGTTTGTCCGCAAGTTTTTTGTCTGCAACTTTTTGTCCGCAAATTTTTTAAATTTTTCTTGCGGACTTGCGAAGAAGCTAAGAACTCTAAAAATTTGTTTTAGGTGTGACAAACAATGTGAAGAGGGTAGTTTTGGTGCGAATTGTTCCCAAGCTTGTCAGTGTCAAAACGGTGGAGTTTGTAATCATATAAGTGGTCATTGTCAATGTGCACCTGGATGGAGAGGGAAAAAGTGTAACAAAGGTTTTTTTACTTAAAAATATTTTTAAAAAATTTTTTCAATTTTTAGCCTGTACAAAAGGATTTTTTGGCCAAGATTGTGCACAATTGTGTAGATGTCCGGGCTTGGAAGCTTCTTGTGACCATGTAACTGGTCAATGTATATGTCCTCCAGGATTTAAAGGTCTTCAATGTGTCGAGGTTTTTTTTGGGTTGAAATTTCTGAATGATTTTAATTAGAAATGCTCTCCTGGTACTTTTGGAGTAGATTGTTCTCAAAAATGCAATTGTAAATTACCAAACCAAGAATGTGATCCTTTCAATGGAAAATGTTTTTGTAAGGCTGGATATTATTCTGATGATGATCAATGTGAACAAAGTAAGGGAAATTTTGTTTTGTTTTTTTTAATTTTTGAGCTAACTTAGTCATGTAACTGTGAGCTTTTATAACAGGGAGGAGTTGGGTTGTCTTTTTCCGGGTATCTTTTAGTTATTCAGTAAGGGTCAGTTAGATGGATTAAGGAGGTCTAGTTTTGAAAATTTTTTCGAATCGGGGTTTGTTACCAATGAAGTCGAGATTTTGAGTAACCCAACCCATCCCTGTTCAATAAGGCCACATTTTCAAAAAATGTTTTGTTTTTAAGGTTGTGTTCAAGGACTTTTTGGCATTGGATGTTCAGAAAAATGTGACTGTCAAAATGGTGCAAATTGTAATATAGAGACTGGAGAGTGTTTATGCCCACCTGGCTTTATTGGTCCTCATTGTGAATTTTCTTGTCCAGAAAATCGTTATGGACCTAGGTTCTTTTATTTTTTTTTAAATAAAACTTAAATATTTTCCAAGTTGTTCAAATTTTTGTGTGTGCCAAAACGGAGGGAAATGTGACCAAAAAAGTGGAGAATGCTTTTGTCTACCAGGCTTTACAGGAAGTAAATGTTCTGAATTATGCCCTCCTGGCCGGTTTGGACATAAATGTAGGGATAAATGTCAATGTGCTGATGGGTCTAAATGTGATCCAATAAATGGAAATTGTTTTTGTAGGTCGGTAAATTAAAAAAAAATTTTTTTTTGATAATTTTATGAATGGGGAAATGCGGGATTATATTTGCGGACTACCGAATTTTTTGGCTATGGTCTAGTTTATGAGTCCAATGAACCTTTCGTGGGTCTATGGTTAATTACGAGTCCGAACAAGTGTTTGTGAACCTGGTGAACTTTTATGAGTAAAATCAGAACAATAAAGTTTCAGATAATTATTTTTAGGTTAATGCTTCATTTTATCCCTTTTATCCGCAAATATCCATGTTGTCCGCAAAAAAATTAATTCAAAAAAATATTTTTTTTCTTTTTTAGGCCTGGCTTTATGGGACCGACATGTCTTGTTGAATGCCCTCAAGGACATTATGGGTTTAATTGTTCACTTGAGTGTGACTGCAATGGAGCTAGTTGTAATCCTTCAAGTGGTTGTTGTAATTGTCCATCGGTTTAATTTTATTAAAAAAATTTTTAAAAATATTTTTTAAGGGACGGCATGGTTCAAGATGCCAATTTGGTTTGTCTTTTTGAGTTTGTAAAAAATTTTTTTTTAATTTTTTAAAGAATGCCCTCAAGGAAGATTTGGTTTACACTGTTCTCAAACCTGTTTGTGTCAAAATGGAGCTAATTGTAATATTTTAACGGGAGAATGTTTATGTCCACCAGGATTTTCTGGAGAAAAGGTTTGTGACTTTTAGAGATGAAAAATAATTTTGTGTAGAATTTTTCTGGAGTACCCTTATTAATTTTTTGAGGCCTTAGATTTTTAAAAATTTTTGAAAAATTTTCTGAGGCCCTAGATTTTTAAAAATTTTTGAAAAATTTTTTGAGGCCTAAGATTTTTAAAAATTTTTGAAAAATTTTTTAAGGCCCTTGATAAAAATTTTTTTTTCTTTTTCCAGTGCGAGAATCATTGTCCTTTTGGTTTTTATGGTCCTTTATGTTCTTTATCCTGTGAATGTGCTGGGTATGGATGTAATCCAATTACTGGAGAGTGTATCTGCCCTATGGGGAAATTTGGAAAGGAATGCTTGGAAGGTTTTTTTTTGAAATTTAGGAAGGAAAAATTTTAGTTTTTAGACTGTCCAGAAGGCCAATTTGGCCAGAATTGTAACCAACAATGTGAATGCTATAATGGAGCAAGGTGTAACCCAATAGATGGAAAATGTCAGTGTTTACCTGGATATTTGGGTCCAAATTGTAAATTGGAATTGAGAGGTTTTTTTGATTATTTGAAGGAAATGAATTTTTTTCTAATTTTAAAAAGATCCTGAAAGAATGGCAAAAAGAGGAGATTTGCCTGATTTTGATGAAATTATTAGAAGGCGAAAAAGGGCAAAAAATTAATTTTTTATTTTTAAAAAAATTTTTTTGAAATTTTTTCTTTTCTTTTTTGTTTTTACCCCCGTGACTGTTGAAGTCATTTATTATTTTTTTTGTAATAAATAAATATTTAATTAATTGTATAAGAATCAATTTACGAATTTTCGTTTTTATATTTGCTATAATTTATCTTTTTTTCATTTCTAGTGGCAAAATTAAATGTTTGGCTCTACTAGAATACGTTCATTTGGTCGAAAAGGTTTTTTAATTAAATCTTTTATGATTCAAAATTTATTTTTTCTTAAGAGAGAAGAACAAGAAGTTGAACAGTCTTTTTACTAATGTCATTAAAAAGGTTCAAAAAATTTTTTTATTCTGATTGGGTTGTAGAATATGCGAGAATTGAAAGTAGGATATGATAAAAAAAGATTTACCGTTGAAGGGATTCGAACCTTGCTCATTCTCCACAATAGAGTAAAAATATCCCACTAGACTATAGTTGTAACTTAGTGTGGGTGAATTTTGTCGTCGGAGATTATAAAATATTTCCTACTAAACGGGTTCGAACCCTCTCCATTTTTAGAGTGATCATCCATTACACCCACTACACCAAAGTGAAAATCATCCCACTACACCAAAGTGAAAACTTCTTTCAATTGTCGCATATTCTGTTCGATAGATAAATGTAGGGCTGGGAAATCACTCTAAAAATATTTTCGATAAGTTTTACTAAAAATAATTTTTTTCTTTTTCTAGCCTCTTAAGTTGGACACAACAACGGTACTTTCGTACATGTCACTGATCTTTCTGGACGCGAAACTATTGTGAAAATTACTGGTGGAATGCGTGTAAAAGCTGACAAGGATGAAGCGAGTCCATACGCGGTGATGCTTGCTGTTCAGGATGTTGCACATCGTGTTCGGTGACTCATCGTGTAACGGTGATTCATCGTGTAACGGTGACTCATCGTGTAACGGTGACTCATCGTGTAACGGTGATTCATCGTGTAACGGTGATTCATCGTGTAACGGTGACTCATCGTGTAACGGTGATTCATCGTGTAACGGTGATTCATCGTGTAACGGTGATTCATCGTGTAACGGTGATTCATCGTGTAACGGTGATTCATCGTGTAACGGTGACTCATCGTGTAACGGTGATTCATCGTGTAACGGTGACTCATCGTGTAACGGTGACTCATCGTGTAACGGTGATTCATCGTGTAACGGTGATTCATCGTGTAACGGTGATTCATCGTGTAACGGTGACTCATCGTGTAACGGTGATTCATCGTGTAACGGTGATTCATCGTGTAACGGTGATTCATCGTGTAACGGTGATTCATCGTGTAACGGTGATTCATCGTGTAACGGTGATTCATCGTGTAACGGTGATTCATCGTGTAACGGTGATTCATCGTGTAACGGTGACTCATCGTGTAACGGTGATTCATCGTGTAACGGTGACTCATCGTGTAACGGTGACTCATCGTGTAACGGTGATTCATCGTGTAACGGTGATTCATCGTGTAACGGTGATTCATCGTGTAACGGTGACTCATCGTGTAACGGTGATTCATCGTGTAACGGTGACTCATCGTGTAACGGTGACTCATCGTGTAACGGTGATTCATCGTGTAACGGTGACTCATCGTGTAACGGTGATTCATCGTGTAACGGTGACTCATCGTGTAACGGTGATTCATCGTGTAACGGTGATTCATCGTGTAACGGTGATTCATCGTGTAACGGTGACTCATCGTGTAACGGTGATTCATCGTGTAACGGTGATTCATCGTGTAACGGTGATTCATCGTGTAACGGTGATTCATCGTGTAACGGTGATTCATCGTGTAACGGTGATTCATCGTGTAACGGTGATTCATCGTGTAACGGTGACTCATCGTGTAACGGTGACTCATCGTGTAACGGTGATTCATCGTGTAACGGTGATTCATCGTGTAACGGTGACTCATCGTGTAACGGTGATTCATCGTGTAACGGTGACTTATCGTGTAACGGTGACTCATCGTGTAACGGTGACTCATCGTGTAACGGTGATTCATCGTGTAACGGTGACTCATCGTGTAACGGTGACTCATCGTGTAACGGTGACTCATCGTGTAACGGTGATTCATCGTGTAACGGTGATTCATCGTGTAACGGTGATTCATCGTGTAACGGTGATTCATCGTGTAACGGTGACTCATCGTGTAACGGTGACTCATCGTGTAACGGTGATTCATCGTGTAACGGTGATTCATCGTGTAACGGTGACTCATCGTGTAACGGTGATTCATCGTGTAACGGTGATTCATCGTGTTCGGTGATTCATCGTGTAACGGTGAATCATCGTGTTCGGTGATTCATCGTGTAACGGTGATTCATCGTGTAACGGTGATTCATCGTGTAACGGTGATTCATCTTGTAACGGTGATTCATCGTGTAACGGTGATTCATCGTGTAACGGTGATTCATCGTGTAACGGTGATTCATCGTGTAACGGTGATTCATCGTGTAACGGTGATTCATCGTGTAACGGTGATTCATCGTGTAACGGTGACTCATCGTGTAACGGTGACTCATCGTGTAACGGTGACTCATCGTGTAACGGTGATTCATCGTGTAACGGTGATTCATCGTGTAACGGTGATTCATCGTGTAACGGTGATTCATCGTGTAACGGTGATTCATCGTGTAACGGTGACTCATCGTGTAACGGTGACTCATCGTGTAACGGTGATTCATCGTGTAACGGTGATTCATCGTGTAACGGTGACTCATCGTGTAACGGTGATTCATCGTGTAACGGTGATTCATCGTGTAACGGTGACTCATCGTGTAACGGTGACTCATCGTGTAACGGTGATTCATCGTGTAACGGTGATTCATCGTGTAACGGTGATTCATCGTGTAACGGTGATTCATCGTGTAACGGTGATTCATCGTGTAACGGTGACTCATCGTGTAACGGTGACTCATCGTGTAACGGTGATTCATCGTGTAACGGTGATTCATCGTGTAACGGTGACTCATCGTGTAACGGTGATTCATCGTGTAACGGTGATTCATCGTGTAACGGTGACTCATCGTGTAACGGTGATTCATCGTGTAACGGTGACTCATCGTGTAACGGTGACTCATCGTGTAACGGTGATTCATCGTGTAACGGTGATTCATCGTGTAACGGTGATTCATCGTGTAACGGTGACTCATCGTGTAACGGTGATTCATCGTGTAACGGTGACTCATCGTGTAACGGTGACTCATCGTGTAACGGTGATTCATCGTGTAACGGTGACTCATCGTGTAACGGTGATTCATCGTGTAACGGTGACTCATCGTGTAACGGTGATTCATCGTGTAACGGTGATTCATCGTGTAACGGTGATTCATCGTGTAACGGTGACTCATCGTGTAACGGTGATTCATCGTGTAACGGTGATTCATCGTGTAACGGTGATTCATCGTGTAACGGTGATTCATCGTGTAACGGTGATTCATCGTGTAACGGTGATTCATCGTGTAACGGTGATTCATCGTGTAACGGTGACTCATCGTGTAACGGTGACTCATCGTGTAACGGTGATTCATCGTGTAACGGTGATTCATCGTGTAACGGTGACTCATCGTGTAACGGTGACTCATCGTGTAACGGTGATTCATCGTGTAACGGTGACTTATCGTGTAACGGTGACTCATCGTGTAACGGTGACTCATCGTGTAACGGTGATTCATCGTGTAACGGTGACTCATCGTGTAACGGTGACTCATCGTGTAACGGTGACTCATCGTGTAACGGTGATTCATCGTGTAACGGTGATTCATCGTGTAACGGTGATTCATCGTGTAACGGTGATTCATCGTGTAACGGTGACTCATCGTGTAACGGTGACTCATCGTGTAACGGTGATTCATCGTGTAACGGTGATTCATCGTGTAACGGTGACTCATCGTGTAACGGTGATTCATCGTGTAACGGTGATTCATCGTGTATCGGTGATTCATCGTGTAACGGTGAATCATCGTGTTCGGTGATTCATCGTGTAACGGTGATTCATCGTGTAACGGTGATTCATCGTGTAACGGTGATTCATCTTGTAACGGTGATTCATCGTGTAACGGTGATTCATCGTGTAACGGTGATTCATCGTGTAACGGTGATTCATCGTGTAACGGTGATTCATCGTGTAACGGTGATTCATCGTGTAACGGTGATTCATCGTGTAACGGTGACTCATCGTGTAACGGTGACTCATCGTGTAACGGTGACTCATCGTGTAACGGTGATTCATCGTGTAACGGTGATTCATCGTGTAACGGTGATTCATCGTGTAACGGTGATTCATCGTGTAACGGTGATTCATCGTGTAACGGTGACTCATCGTGTAACGGTGACTCATCGTGTAACGGTGATTCATCGTGTAACGGTGATTCATCGTGTAACGGTGACTCATCGTGTAACGGTGATTCATCGTGTAACGGTGATTCATCGTGTAACGGTGATTCATCGTGTAACGGTGACTCATCGTGTAACGGTGACTCATCGTGTAACGGTGATTCATCGTGTAACGGTGATTCATCGTGTAACGGTGATTCATCGTGTAACGGTGATTCATCGTGTAACGGTGATTCATCGTGTAACGGTGACTCATCGTGTAACGGTGACTCATCGTGTAACGGTGATTCATCGTGTAACGGTGATTCATCGTGTAACGGTGACTCATCGTGTAACGGTGACTCATCGTGTAACGGTGATTCATCGTGTAACGGTGACTCATCGTGTAACGGTGATTCATCGTGTAACGGTGACTCATCGTGTAACGGTGACTCATCGTGTAACGGTGATTCATCGTGTAACGGTGACTCATCGTGTAACGGTGATTCATCGTGTAACGGTGACTCATCGTGTAACGGTGATTCATCGTGTAACGGTGACTCATCGTGTAACGGTGACTCATCGTGTAACGGTGATTCATCGTGTAACGGTGACTCATCGTGTAACGGTGATTCATCGTGTAACGG